TACTCTATACGAAGTTTATTGTAATACAACTTAAATTTAAATATCAGATTGAACGGTAGATCATGAGTGTAAATCTCTTAGTGAATATTGAGAGTTTACTTGAATTAATACTTTGTAATAATCGAAATATCTATTTTATTGTTTTCTATAGATAAGAAAGAATAGCTTATTTGGTAAATACAATTCGATAAGCATAAAATTAATATTATTTGATCAGTAAATCACATAGTTTATTTAATAGAATTCTAGTAAATATACATAAATAAATTAAATCGGAAATTATTTGGCTAATGATAAGCTATGCGATCTAGCAATCTCTAATACTAAGATAAAATAAATCTCATTAGCCTCCATCTTTCTATTGGACCCATACTTATATAGGTTATTTTTTTAAATAAAATTTGAAATGGGTGCCCGTACTGTATCCACAACTTCCTTCAAGATACCAAATTTATCCAATGTAATCATTTTAAGTTTTTCAAAAGGGGAAAAGAAGATATGTTTAGGCTTCAATTTGAAAAATGCACAATCTAATTTTCGTAAATCATTTTTATATTTCTGTATGAATTTACCCATTTTGCTTTTTACTTTTTTGTTGATAATATCTTTTAACATATCATGATATTTTGCTAAATTAAAAAACAAAGGTTGGTTGATTATCTGTACCATTGTCTCGACATTATCTGTTTGTGTTTCTATATCAACACAATCAAAAATCGAATATTTATTGGTCGTCTGTATCATTGTCTCGGTATATATAATTGTATCTGTTTGTGTTTCCATATTGACGTATGTATGTTTCCTATTTGTACAAGTATTACAGGTAGATAATTTGATATCATCACTAGTATCATCAGAGATTTTAACTAATTCTTTGTCTGTATCTATAGGGATTTCTTTAGAGATAATAATATTATCTGATATCTTTTTAGATTTTGAGTTTATATTTCTTTTGGTTAAATATTTCTTGGTTACTTTACTTTTTTCTTTGGGAATTGGTGTTCTTCTTAACATATACGGATCTATTATTTGATTTAATAATATTCTAGTATTATATATTGGATTGGTAGT